CTCCAAGATGCCACTGCAGCAGTAGCAACAGCTCCAGCTGCCAGCGAGCCAGCAGCTGAAAAATTGCCAGCGGTGGACAGCGGTAACGAGGAGGAGGATGTTGTCCAGCCAACACAACAGCGCGTGTCCAAGGCTCAAAAGCGTCGCAACAAAAAGGAGAAAGAGGCACGCGATCGCGCGCAGGAAATACACCAGGCTATGCAAGACGCCGCCAAAGTGTTGTCGCCCAAGCAAATTGAAYTGCAGCAAATCACAGCTAAGTTGCAAGATCGCCAGCTGGCGCTCCACATGATACTCTCAGATGGTGACTGTCTCTACAATGCGATACGCCATCAGCTGCGGCAGCACGCGTTGCCCGAGCACAGTGTCCAGGAGCTGCGAACCGAGACGGCCAACTATGTGCGCGCCCACAAGGATGATCTCATTTGCTATATGACCCATCCGGATACAGGAGATCTTCTCACTGATGAACAATTTGAAGCCTACTGCCAGGACATAGCCAACACCCATGCTTGGGGTGGGCACATCGAGCTAAAGGCGCTCTCSTCGCTGCTGCGTGTGCCCATTGAGGTCATCCAAGCCGAGGGCCCCTCGACGCAGCTGGGCCAGGAGGAGTTCGGCGGAGCGCCACTAGTCGTTTGCTATCATCGCCATATTTACCAACTAGGCGCCCATTACAACTCCACGATTCCAGTGGAGGAGGAGTAGCACTAAGAGCTCAGCATCGAAATTAAACAAAATCCAAATGAATTGCAACATGTTTATGGTTTATTGAATTAATATCTTGATATTACTATATATATATAGACATATATACTATATATAAATATGCATTTGGAAGATTTGAATTATTGTCAAAATTTGCAAATAGTTTCATACATTTTGTACAAATGTTATTTATTTAAAAATAACCATTAAATTAGTTTACTTTACAAGAAGAGTAATAGGCATTTCAAATATCTTTCTCTATTTATATAAGTATGTAAATTCTGATCCAGTTTTTATAGCTTATAATCATAATTAATACAAAATGTAATCAGAAATCGAATATGTACAACACTTGAATTTGCTGAGTAGAAGCTTAGCTAATTATTATTATTASATGGAACCCTGCCTGATTATTGTTAAGTCAAAATTGTACTAGAAGCGTTTGAGTTCGAAACTGGAATAATTAGTTAAGTCGAAAATTCTAGATGATGTTAGGGACGCCAGATGCCTTCCTTGGCTTTCTTAATTCATTTAATTTAGGTACTTGTAGTTGAGTTATTTATTTCTCCTTCTTCTTCTCGGACTTGGCAGCGGGCTTCTTGGCAGGTGTGCTGGGATAGATCATGAACATCACCAGCTGGATGCCACCCAAGACCCACAGGAACAAATTCTGATACTACAAAATTAGAATAGACATGAAGTTTAAAGAGAGATCKTKGGACTCTATCGAATAAGTCGGGGCACTTACCACCATGACATGATTGCGTATGGACACTGCATACAAGGTCCAGGCAGTGGCAACCAGCTGTCCGGCAAAGATGATGGGAAAGGGCATGCCCTCCGTGCTCTTCTTCTTGATGATGTCGGGCAAATTGAGCAGCGGTGAGCCAACTAGCCAGACGAGTATCGATGTGATCAACATGCCCAGGCGGAACTCAATT